TTTCAAAAATCTAAACTTCAACGGACATTCGTGCCGCATTAACCAATCAGAAGCTTGCTCTTGTGGGGGTGTGATTGTGACGTAGAACCAGTTGATGGTGTCCCGGGGGAAATCCTCCAGGCGACACAGACAACAAGTCATCAAACTGGGCTGGGCTCAGTCAGAAGCACCGTTGAAAGCTTCTGGAGGAGTTCATGAGCTCACAGAGCTGGATGCACCTCTAAAAGCATGTAGTGGACTCAGACACATACATAAACACTGTTATTTTCTTCATAAAATCTGTTAGCCTTTTAACAACAAAGCTACAGTCACCGGGAAGACAGAAGCCCTGCCCAGAGTCGATTTGTTTAAAATTAATAAATGGTTACACCAATTATTCATTCATTCACTTTCTTGTCGGCTTAGTCCCTTTATTAATCCGGGGTTGCCACAGCGGAATGAACCGCCAACTTATCCAGCAAGTTTTTACGCAGCGGATGCCCTTACAGCCGCAACGCAGGTTACACTAATTAATGTAACAAATTCAATAATGTACAGTAACAAAGTAATTTAAAGGGCACCTAGGTTACCCCTTTATCAGATTTAACATAAGTCTTTTGCGTCTCTAGAATGTGTATGTAAAGTTTCAGCTCAAAACACCCATCAGACTTTTCATTATACCTTTAACAAAATCCTGTTTTATACATATACTGCGCCTTTAAGACAAGTCATCCCCGCCTACTGTTTCTACGTGCCTTACCGCGTGCTTTAGTCTCCTCCCTCGGCTGCGTCAGACAACAGACAGACCTAAAGGAAGAAGGTCTCACGTAGTGTTTGTGAGATACTACATTAAGAACTTTATTAATCAGTATTTGTTGTGAAGTTGCATTGATGAGTCACGCAATATCGTTACAAAGTTAACGCACGCAAGCACACACACAGATACACACGCAGACAGGCAGACAGACAGAGCACGTTTAGCTTTGCACTGTTTTTGCACTCAAATGTGTCAGGATACAGGCTAATCTCCACTGCTGTGTGGATATCTGTGATGTTATTGTACAAAATAAACCTGATTTAACATCTACAAACCGGGATTGAAGCGTCTTTTTTATAATTGTTCAGACCTGCGGCTGTGCTGATGAAGTAAAGCTGAAGTAAAACGCTGTAATTAATTACACACGTGCTCTGTTTTAAAACACTTTAAACATGTGAAACTTACTCTTGATCACATTTGATGATGATTGCTGATCCTAGCGAACTGAACAGACCTTTTATTCCTGGTTGCTTTGCGTATGTCTGGTCTTGTTGACATATACACGTGACTACCGAGACATGTTAATGCACGCAGCTGTCAATCAACTCGGTGGGCGGGGGGACCGCACACCTACGTAAAGTTGCGGTCGGTCTGAAAACCGCTCCAATTGTTCCACCGTTTAAATGTTGTTAAATTGAAAAAAAAAGGACTGTGTGTGTTTACATCAGCCCAATATGACGGTCTATACACTATATATACACATATGTCTGTCCAAACAGCTTGAAAAGTACATTTTTCACCATAGGTGCCCTTAAAATTCAAAACGTTGCAATGAAATTTAAAATGTAACCGAAATGAAAGCAGCACTCGTTCCAAAACACACACAAATTTAACAGCAAGACGGTTAAAAAAGACATGATAGATAAAACAAGATATTTATAGCTCATTTTAAAATGCTGTCATTATTATTTACGTTCAAGTTAAATCACTTTTTTAACCAAATGTTTAAAAATAAGTGACCCAGCATTGGGTTAGGACAGCTCAGCATTTTTGGAGTGTGTTGAAGCAAAACTAATTTAAAAACGCAAAACTATAATATGTGCATTTTTTTTGTTGTTGCTAAAAAACAGAAGAGTCTCAGACGTGTCTTTGTCTGGTCTGATCTCATATGAGCCTGCGGCAAACTGCAAGCAGGTGTAAAAAGACATGATGGATAAAACAAACTAAACCTGAACTGATACTCATTTTCTTCAGCTTAGACCTTTTATTTATCAGAGGCTGCCACAGCTGAATGAACTGCCAACTATTACAGCATATGTTTTACACAGTAGATGCCCTTCCAGCCTCAACCTAATATTGGGAAACACCCATACACACAAGCACGTGTGCACACACACACACACACACACTCATACACTACGGCCAATTTAGTTGATCTATTGCTCTATAGCGCATGTGTTTGGACTGTGGGGGAAACCGGAGCACCCGGAGGAAACCCACACCAACACGGGGAGAGCATGCAAACTCCACACAGAAACACAAACTGACCCAGCTGGGACTTGAACCAGTGACCTTCTTGTTGTAAGGCCGGAGTGCTAACCACTGAGCCACCATGCCGCACCTAAACTGATATTTATAGCTCAATTATAAACACTACACCTATAAATGCTGTCATCATTATTTCCTACAAGTTAAATGAGACTTTTTGACCAAACGGTTTGGGTTTAACACTACTGAGTTAAAACAGCTCTGCATATTTGGAGTGTGTTGAAGCCAAAAGTAATTTAAAAATGCTAAACTATAATAATGTGCATTTTGTGTTGTTGCACAAAGCAGACGAGTCTCAGATGTGTCTTTGTCTGGTGTGATATGAGCCGCTGGCGGCTGGATTTCTCTGCGGTTCGATCGATAGCTGGTTTTCCCTCTTCTGTCTTTCTCTTGTGTAAATGTGATTGGCCGCTGACCCTGGTGGCCCTCGGGCGTCTGTATTAGCCATGAACCCCGGGCCGCCGCTCTATTCATCTCTGTAATTGTCCGTATGAATTATTTACCTGACTCCAAGGGTGAATATGAATTCAGTGTGTCTAACCATTACTCTCTGGTTCAATTATCAGAGAGGGGCATTATGGGAAATGACAGTAGAGATGATTACAGGATTCATGAGATGTAATATGCATGACCTCATGGCTCTGGAATATGTGTGTAAGACAAAACGAGACATTTTTTACAATATTTCACAAGTGATGTTTATTAGAGCAATGCATGTTTGTCACAGCACTGCTTTTTTTCTGTAGAAAGTCTCGTTTCTTTTAGTTTGACAGTAATGAAAGCAGTTAAATTAATTCTAAGGTCAATATAATAAGTTGATTGTCTACAGAATAAGCTGCTTTGACACAATCTACATTGTAAAAAGCTCTATTTAAATAAACTTGAATTGAATTGAACAAACAACTGTTGTCCAATGACTTGCCCCGACTTAACCTGAGCATTTACATAGCACTTTAAGCTGAATGTATTGACATAAAAACACATATAAAAATGCTAAATGAATAATATATGAATGGAAAATGGTCTTCATATGATTTAAAATATTACGTAAATATTTGCTAATATATGAATGGAAAATAGATTTTTATTCAACTGGACAAAAATAAAAATAATCACAAAATGCAAAACAATTTAGGTGCTTTTTGACATCAACTGGACATTATTTTACTTATTTAAAAATATAGCTTAAAAGGGCTATTAATTTTGTCCTAAAAATTGTGTTTAAAAAATGTAAACTTTAAAAACTGCTTTTATTTTAGTCAAAATAAAACAGAAAAAACTTTCTCCAAAAGAAAAAATATTATCAGACATACTATGAAAATGTTCTTGCTCTGTAAAACATAATTTGGGAATATTTAAAAAAAATAATAAATAAAAATTAAAGGGGGGCGAATAATACTGACTTCTACTGTGTGTGTGTGTGTGTGTGTGTGTGTGCGTGCGTGCGTGCGTGCGTGCGTGCGTGCGTGCGTGTGTGTGTGTGTGTGTGTGTGTGTGTGTGTTTGTACTGTATATATTGCTTTCATTATGGCAAAGACATTAAAACTAGTTATTTAATAAATGAGTTATTAGAAATTTCTTTATAAGTTATAGAAGTTTCTTGTTTGCTTTCAAAAATAACTTTAAAAACTTTATTAATCCCACAAATACCAATTATGTTGTATTTTATCAAGCCAAATAATCTTATTTCCAACCAAAAACAACCCCATTGGCATATTATTTTGCTCTTTTTTTAAGGAAAAAATCTTGACTTATTATTTCTGAAAATAAACAATTGTCTAGAAGTAAATGAATTATAATTGACAATTATAATTGTTCAGAAAATTCTTCGTGATTTAGGAATTTTTTGATATTTGGGCAAAAAACAAAACAAAAACTATGTTTATTTTTTTTCCCGCAGTGTTAAAACTAAAAAATTTTAAAAGTGCTGAACAAAAAAATCTCTTTTTTAAACAGTACTTACGATATAATTGGGGGGAAAAATAAGATTTCACATGCAGGCAAATATAGAAATTTGGCCTTTAGTGTGTGTGTGTGTGTGTGTGTGTATATATATATATATATACAGTTGAAGTCAGAATTATTAGCACCCCTGAATTTTTAGACCGCTTGTTTATTTTTTCCCCAATTTCTGTTTAACGGAGAGCAAATATTTTTAACACATTTCTAATCATAATAGTTTTAATAACTCATTTATAGTAATGGATTTGTTTTATCTTTGTCATGATGACAGTAAATAATATTAGACTAGATATTCTTCAAGACACTTCTATACAGCATAAAGTGACATTTAAAGGCTTAACTAGGTTAATTAGGTTAACTAGGCAGGTTAGGGTAATTAGGCAAGTAATTGTATAACAAGGGTTTGTTCTGTAGATTATTGAGAAAAAAATATAGCTTAAAGGGGCTAATAATTTTGACCCTAAAATCGTGTTTAAAAAATTTAAAACTGCTTTTAATCTAGTCGAAATAAAACAAATAAGACTTTCTCCAGAAGAAAAAATATTATCAGACGTACAGTGAAAATGTCCTTGCTCTGTTGAACATCATTTGGAAAATAATTTAAAAAATTTGAATGATCACATGGGTCAGTAACATGAGTGTACTGTAGATACTGTACATCTATCAGGAAATATCTTTGTATTAATGCAGCATTTATTCTCTTCATTCAGAAACCAGAAGCACTGCAGAAAAGCAGAGAAAAGCAGACGCTCACCAGAAAGATCCTCTCCAGCTGATCCTGAATGTCCTTCATTCCGGGGAAAGCAGCGACGCCCTGGATCATTTCCACAAAGATGCAGCCCACACCCCTGAAAAACAACCAGCACACACCGTCACCCGAGGCACAAATATCACAAGAGCTTTATTACTCTATTACTGTACTGTATTACTGTATAAATGAACTGAGTTCAGAATCAGGTCTTTGATCTGAGATTTTTCACCTTTTTCTGCCCGCTGAAATCATTTGAGATGAAATAAATAAGAATGTGAAGTGCATCTATTAAAGGCTCGTTTCACAATCACTCAACAACACATTTACAGTATATTTATGGCTCTCTGATGGAGTTATGAAGGAAAGAAAGAAAGAAAGAAAGAAAGAAAGAAAGAAAGAAAGAAAGAAAGAAGGAAGGAAAGAAAGAAAGAAAGAAAGAAAGAAAGAAGGAAAGAAAGAAAGAAAGAAAGAAAGAAAGAAAGAAAGAAAGAAAGAAAGGACTAAGCTCATGAGTTCAAATCCATATGTGCACCTTAAAGTCAATTTGCATAAGCATTTACCGATTGGAATATGCAAATACCATGCGCATATCATTAAATGATACAATATCATGAGATTCATCAGCCATTCTTTAATAATGTATAATGTGTGACTACATCATTGCACTCCTCTGCTCACACAGAATGAACCAATTCTCTGAGCTTTTATATATATACAGTATATATCTGAATGCACAGCTATAATATCCTGACAGACAGTGAGCGTGTGGCCTTTATTCCCCAGCCGACCATTGTTTCCTGACACTTTTCCAGTCCAGCGAACACACACACACACACACACACACACACACACACACACACACAAATGTCTTTCTCTGACAGCAAGAGTCACGAAAACACGCAAACAGCAGAGAGACACAAAACTCAAGCAGCCACTGGTGAAAATCTGACCGTTTCTACACTCCTCTGACTGGCAGGACTCTGATAAACGTCAGATTATAGACGAGCCGTCCTGCTAATCCTCATCCTGACTGTAGGAAAACATCCAGCACAAACACATGTAGTCTGGAGTATTTACATATATAACCATAACATTTCAGAGAGTCGCAATAGAAAAATCAGTTAAATCAAATTTATCATGTGCATTTATTCATGATATAATATAGAGTATCACTTATATTTACATGACGTACACCAAACCTTACAGTTTTATTCATATTAATATTCAATGATGTGGTTAATGGTTTTATTCCCATTTAGATTTTGATGACATACGAACAGGGCAGCATGGTGGCACAGTGGGTAGCAAAATCGCCTCATAGCAAAAAAGTCGCTGGTTCGAGCCTCCGCTGGGTCAGTTGGCGTTTCTGTGTGGAGTTTGCATGTTTCCTCCAGGTGCTTCGGTTTCCTCCACAAAGTCCAAAAACATGTGGTACAGGTGAATTGGGTAGGCTATTGTCTGTAGTGTATGTGTGTGAATGGGTGTGTATGGATGTTTCCCAGTGATAAGTTGCAGCTAGAAGGGCATTCGCTGTGTAAAACATATGCTGGATAAAATGGCGGTTCATTCCGCTGTGGCGACCCCAGATTAATAAAGGGATTCAAGAAAATGAATGAATGAATGACATACGGCAAACTTTTTTTCACATTTAAAAGTTTTTTTCACATTTATATTTTGATGACGTATGCCAAACTTTACTATTTTATATATATATTTATGTTTCAATAATATTTGCCAAACTCTACAGTTGTACAGGCATCTATATTTCAATGATGTATGCCAAACTTCACAGTTACATTTCAATCAGTTACATTTCGATAACATACACCAAAACTTAGGGCCCTATCATACACCCGGCGCAGTGGGGCACAAGGCGTGACGCAGTAGTCTTTTGGTAGTTTCAGCTTGGCGCAAGATGGGTTTTGAGGCGTTGCGCTACGCTGTTTAAATAGCAAATGCATTAGCGCTCATTTGTGCGCCCATAGACGTTCTGGTCTAAAAAGGAAGGCGTTCTGAGGCGGACCGCTGGCGCGTTGCTATTTTGAGAAACTATAATAGATTTTTCATTAGACCAAAACAAACCCGGTCTAAACTCCGACGCAGAGTTGTGCCTCTCTTACACACTGCTTAATACACACAAGAGAGCAATAGGCAACTATCTTTACATATGAAAAAAATTAAATATCAAGGATATATATAGGATATAATAAGAATATATAGGATATAAATATAAAGGATTAAAATATTACAAAACATATTATTTTCTAGCCGACATAAATATAAAAACCACTGCCTTCATGCCTTCTTCATCTTAGGAGGCTTTTTCAGTTCATTCATGACAATTTGCTTTTGTATAATGTTATTATTATTAGCAGTATTATTTATTATATCCATATTTATATTTGTTTTATTAAAAACAAGCTTAGATTTGTCCACCTGCAGGTTTTAGACCAAATGGGGCGCAGCATGTGTTTTAGGATATAACTCAGGTTTTTGAGCACATTTTGTTATTATTGTTCATTTATTCGTTTGCTGGAAATTAGAACTGAATTTAGAAATAGTTTTGAAATGAATATTTGTGCTTAACAAACAAAAGTATTTATTTATAGACTAATTGATGTCTGTGCGTAAAGGTTTCCTTATCCACGCGAGTGAAAGTGAAAGTAGATCCATCATCTCTCATTCTCACGCAGTAGATGCTCTGTTTAACTGTTTTCTGTGAACTGTTTGCTTGTAAAATGCTCATTTTTTTCCACTTAGACTTACTTTGCGTCCGATAAATAGCGAATGCGCTCTTGGCGCGACGCAGCTGGCTCTTAAAGGGAGATGAGAGTCTGATTGGTTTATTCTTAAAACACACCTATAACTCATTAAGAAAATAAACTCAACCCTTTTAGATCATGCGCCGAAGCGCAAGGCAGATTTCCCGTCCTTAAATTAGCAAAAACGCGTCCTGACACGCCCTGAAAGCGTTTGCGCCCTACGCTTTGAGCATGGACTGTCAAAATAGAGCCCTTACTGTTTTAATTCCATTTATATTTTGAAGACAAATGGCAAACTTTACCTATATATTCCCATTTATATTTCGATGATGTACACCAAACTTTACCGTTTTATTGCTATTAATATTTTGATGACATACGCCAAATTTTACAATTTTAATTCCATTTATATTTTGATGACATACTTTGCGATTGTATTCCCAATATTTTGATGATAATCGCCAAACTTTATGGTTATATTTCCATCTATATTTGATAATGTACGCCAAACTTTAATGTTTTACTTTAATTTATATTTCAATGACATACGCCAAACATTCCCATTTTATTTCTATTTATATTTCAATAATATTCACCAAATTTGACTGATTTATCCCCATTTATATTTCAATGATGTATGCCAAACTTTACGACATTATTCCCATTTTTATTTTGATGTCATTGGAAAAACTTTACTATTTAATTTCTATTAACAATTCAAATGAACGGCAAAGTTTACAGTCATATTCCAATTTATATTTGAGTGACGAACGGCAAACTTTTTGGTTGTTTTCCATCTATTTTTCAATGACGACACCAAAAATTACATGTTTATAACTGTGTTTATTTTGATGATATGCACCAAACTTTACGTTGTATTTCTGTCTACATACTGATGATGTACACCAAACTATATAGTTTTATTCCTGTTTATATGTCAACTATAACATTTTAGAGGTCTTGCAATACAACAATCAGAGTTAAATCAACAATATGATGTGCATTTATTCAGGATGCTTTACATTTAATCGAGTTGTCCAGGTTGTTATGCACTGCAGGATTCTCAGGTTTCATTTAAGGTTTAACTCTTACCTTATTCGAATATGATTTATGATTTTAATTCCGTATGTAAATGTTGCTATATGACAGATCTGATCTGGCACTATATCCATGTCAAGTTGCAGAACATTACTGATTATTATTCCTGCATGTTCAGTGACACCAGACGGGAACAGCAGCACATAATTTTCCCCTTATTAAGGATTTCTTCCCCGGCAGAATGCAATTTATATCATATTTCAGGATATCATTTAAACTCAATAACTGTGTGGTTTTCACTATCAATCTGAAGGGTGTCTAACTGAGATTACATGACATTTGTGTGACATTTGAGTGGCATTCAGCTCATCTGCAGCAGTGTGAAAGGTCTGCTGAACTAAGACGAGCTGGTCCAGCACACACACACACACTCAATTGTGACCACACGCATGCATGCACAAAACCATGCACGCAAATACAAACACATCGGCTATCGGCTACAAACTAGCAAAAGCATTTCCATTAGGCATATTGCTAGGAGTATGTTTTCTGATCGATCGACAAATTTAAATTTTCATTAATAATTCAACAACAATGGAGCCGGATTCCACCAAAGCCCCCCAATGTGAAGAAGGGATGAAAGGAGGAGCAGTTTTTATATTTATGTAGACAATAATACATAGCTTTACATGTTAATCTTTTAATTTTTCAGATTTAAAGATATTTGTGTACTGCTGTACATCCCTGTGTGTGTAATAAGAAGTCTTAGGACCGGAATAGGGACATATATAGATGTCTGATAGGTGTCTCACCACATGTCCAGACAGGTGGAGTAGTCTGTAGAGCCGAGCAGCACATCTGGAGGACGATACCACAGCGTCACCACCTCATTAGAGTATGTGTGGCTGGGGACGGACTTTGCTCTTGCCAGACCTGCACACAAAACACACACATCAGCATCACTCTTTAAGAAGACGACCCAGCATTTTAAGAGTGTGCTTATATACAGTTGAAGCCCTGCTGTAGATTTTTGTTCAGCACATAATATTAGACTAGATATTCTTCAAGACACTAGTATTCAGCCTAAAGTGACATGTAAAGGCTTCACTAGGGTAAGTAGGGTAAAGTTAGGGTAATTAGGCAAGTCATTGTATAACAGTGGTTTGTTCTGGAGACAATGCAAAACAAATATAGCTTAAGGGAGCTAATAATATTAACCTTAAAATGGCCTTAAAACTATAAAAACTGCTTTTATTCTAGCCAAAATAAAACAAATAAGACTTTCTCCAGAAGAAAAAATATTATAGGAAATACTGTGAAAAGTTCCTGAATCTGTTCAACATCATTTAGGAAATATTTTAAAAAAAAATTTACAGGAGGAAACTCCATACACTGTTGTCAGTATTTCTTTATATATTACACAAACTGTCACACTAGGGCTGGGCGATTTTTCAGATTTTTTTTTATTAATTCGAATTTACGTTTTAAGACAATTTAATTTTGAATCAAATCAAGAAATCGCGATTTTTAAAAAAGTATATATATATTTAATACATTATAATGGCACCATTGCGCTTTGGTTCACTCTCTGTATGAAGCAGTTCGCACACTAGAAGCGCCTCTCGGCGGCGCTATCGAAGCACCACGCAGCGCCATGGATTTTAGAATTCTAAACAGGTTTCTATACACACACCAGCGCCGCCCAGCCACGATTCATGAAGCAGTTCATATTTCAGCCGCACCACAGAGTGCCCTCTGATTAGTTTCATGTTAAATATTATGTGAATGTGCGCGTCTGGTGTGATAGTTTAAACTATCATGTGCGCGCCGTGTCGCAGCACTTCTGGTGTACGACCTGCTTGACTGCCTGGTAAAGCGTGAAGTCATGTAGTATTTTACTTGTTGCATTAGTCTGAGTCACGTCTGTGTGGATTGTCAAGACATTCCCTCATCAAGTCGATAAACTCAATCTCAACATGTGTGAAGGACGTAAAACCCTGCCATGTGAAAAACCCCGCGCCGATCCTTTGGTTTGAACACAAGCAGAGGTGAGGGCCTGTAGCAGTGAAAATGAAAGTACCCGCCCCCATGACGTCATTTAGCGGACCTAGTTGAAAACCAGACAGATCAGGCAGCATAATACAGAGAGTGGAGCAAAGCGCATCAAATGATCGATATTTAAAAGGGGGAAAAAGAAAAATAGATTAAATATATTATTTTCTATTAGACACACATTTGGTACTTTGCTCCTGCTATACGTCCACAACTTCACACATTGGGTTAAATTAGGCTTTACAGTTTTCATGTTCAGTCCTTTACTTCCACTGTATCTTTTTAAGAAAAAGGCAGCAGCTTTACAACCTGACATTCAATCAGAAGACAAAGTCAAAGCCGAGCTGACAGCCAATCTTTCCTAGGCTCAGCAAAACTTACAAAAAATGCCTCTGTATTCCTGCAACTGCAATATTTACACAAATATTTCTTATTCAAATCTTCTGCAACGCTATTTAACTCGTAAATTTGTTTTACATTTATTTACACCTTGACCGATTTTTTTTGACATGCCCAATTAAAATACAATGTTCCAGATGATTTTTCAAGTTACTTTCAGTCATATTGTTGTAATGTTTTGAGAAGACTAGTTACACAATAAAAAAAAAAATCGAAATCGAAATCGTGAATCGGTCAAACTTTATAAAAAACCTAGATTTTTTTTTTGCTAAATCGCCCAGCCCTATATCACACTAACTTTCAATCAGTGGACTCATAACATGTATGAATTAGTACAGTATTAGCAATTTAAAGCCATGCTTTCCTCTACTCCCAGGAAAAGTGCTAACAGCATGTGGGTAAAAGTGTGTGTTAATATCAGTGGGGTAAATATAGATGTGAGCTGTGTGTGGCCGCAGGTGTCGAGGCGTGTTTAATTAGCCCGTCTCTCTTAAGCACACTTGACTCCCAGTGTTTATAGAGGCGTTTAGAGCGCTCTGAAATAGCATCCGCGCTTCACGCTGTATAATTTGCAGTCAATAATCAGCTGCTAAACAAAGAGCCGCGTCAGAAAGAGTGAGCGGCTGTCCAGAGGTGATCATTTACTCAGTCAGAGGAGGTTAACCGGCCCACGGAGACACTAATCATCATTAGCCAACTCGCAAAAAACAGCATACACACTGAACTAAAACAATAAATCAAAAGGTTTAACATGATGTTTCAGCCCTAACATCAAGGGAAGGTAACAAAATGTGTATATGTTTCTTGTTATGCTTTTGTTTATCATTATGCTAATTATTTATCATATTTGTATATTTGTTTGCATATTCATATGTCAGATATGGAGACTTTATGTTATTGTACTTTTTTTTACACTATTAGGATGTTGTATTATCTCCTCCTCCTCCTCCTCCTGTTGTGTTTTGATGTGACTTTTGACTGTTGTAGCTGTGAAATAACTCTAATCATTCAGCGGAGTGATATGGAGTGGGGGCAGCACTGTAGCACAGTGGTTAGAACTGTGGCCTCACAGCAAGAAGGTTGCTGGTTCGAGTCCCCGCTAGGTCAGTTGGTGTTTCTGTGTGGAGTTTGCATGTTCTCCCCGTGTTGGTGTGAGTTTCCCCCACAGTTCAAACACATGTGGTACAGATGAATTGGGTAGGCTAAATTGTCCATAGTGTATGAGTGTGTGTGTGAATGAGAGTGAGTGGATGTTTCACAGGAATGGCATCCGCTGAGTAAAAACATGCTGGAAAAGTTGGCGGTTCATTTAACTGAGGCGATCCCGGATTAATAAAGGCACTAAGCTGAAAAGAAAATGAATGAATGAATAAATGTGTATGAGTGTGTGTCTGAATGAGTGTGTATGGGTGTTTTCCAGCTCTAGGTATCCACTGCGTAAAACTAATACTGGAATATTTGGTGGTTCATTCCACTGTGGTGACCGCTGATTAATAAAGGGACTAAAGTGAAGGAAAATGAAGGAATATATGATTTGGAGCTGTAATGCGCTCAGTACCTGCCGGAACTACTTCAGCTGTGCGTTTATCTGAAAATAACAGTTCACCTCAGAATTTTCATCAGCCAATCAGAATCTAGCATTCAACACAGCACTATAGTATAAGGGGCTGATCAATCAAACCGAACATGTTTTTCAGTGTTCTGCACTTTTTATGTTGCTAGGCAACCACTGAATCAGTGCTGCTATTGATATTTGATAATTGTAATTTTTAATAATATTGTAATAATCATGATTTTTGAAGTCATATCGCTCCAGATAACTCCAAACAGTGATCGCTAGTGTCTTCTCCATCTTTAAAAGTCTCTGTAGTCAACTTGTTAACACAAACACTGGTGTCACTCAATGGAAACTCCTGCTTTCATTTGATTGGAGAATGAGTGGAAAAAGCATGCAAGTTTACTTTTTGACCTGGAGACACACAGAATGAAACAGCAAAAACGCGAGACACGCAGGGTGCAAAGTTATTGTGCAAAACACACACAGACATTAGAAAACCATTCAGAAAAGGTGCCTCTCGTCGCAAAAAGTGTGTTCAGTGTGATCAAGGCAAAAGCCAGTTTAATTGATTAAAGTTAAAATGACTACTAGAGTTAATTTGATTCTAATTTGATTTCTAAATTAAAACCTTCACTTGGAGAAAAAAAAAACATTAGGTTTATAATAAATGGCAATTCCAGTACCATTTTGGAGACATGAGACCTGTTTATTATTGTATTTTCTCTGAGCATTTGAGTATCTGTGGATTAAATTGATGATTTTTGTCTGTTGATGTGCATGTGTGCTTTTTCATGGGTTATTTCTAAACGTAAACCATCAAATACATATATTTCATACATAATTGACAATAACTATGCTTTTTTTATGTATTTCCCTTTTTTTGTGTAATTGTAATTTCATTTGTTTATGGCGAAGGGTTGGAATATTATTTGTTTCTATTTTTCTGTAAAACTCCCCTGCTGTTTCTGTATTAGTTTAATAAATAAATAAATAAAAGCATGGTATTTTTACAGTGCATCTGTGTCTAATGGACGGAGGATGAAGAACGTCCTCTACTCGTCCTTGAGTTGAACCATGAACAGCGGCTGATCAGGGAAACGAAAGCGAAGCTATGGTTCAAAGCTCCGCGGGTCTCAGGAGGCGTCGAGGGTCAAAGCGGCTGAATTATACATCAGTCACTGTCACACAGTCACATCACAGCATCAGGAGGAACAGAGATAGACCAGGAGAAGAGTGAAGGAGAACAGATTTATCCATATAAATCACTATATCATGACATAGATAGACATGGATATCACAAGATAGATAGATAGATAGATAGATAGATAGATAGATAGATAGATAGATAGATAGATAGATAGATAGATAGATAGATAGATAGATAGATAGATAGATAGATAGATAGATAGATAGATAGATAGATAGATAGATAGATAGATAGATAGATAGATAGATGGATAGATAGATGGATAGACAGATGGATAGACAGATGGACGGACGGACGGACGGACAGATAGACAGACCGACCGACCGACGGACAGATAGATAGATACAGACACAAACAGATATCTGTCTGTTACTCTATCATCCATCTATCTAGATATGTATGTGCGTGAGTATTAACATAACTCTTCTTATTTCCTTTTCATAAATCATGTTTTATTGTGCATTAAAAATAAATAAATTCAGTTATTATAGATGATTTCTCTTGAATGAGCTTCATCTCCAGGACTGCAGAGACATTTATAATAATAATGATAATTCATATTTCTGTTGACTCAGAGCCTGTGGTTTATTCCAGGCTCTTTCAGATGATTATGCGGAGCCTCGTGATACTGGAAAATGCTGAGCTTGCAGTATTTAGTTTTCTATCTTTGGAAACAATTTTAGAGTGAGTGGAGGATTCCTGCTGGCAGTTAATCTG